ATTGCCTTAACTATTTTCACGGTGACGGTAATATCTTATATTTTCCTATTTTGAGTTTTAAAAAGAGAAAAACAAGTAATTTAAAGGAAAGGAATATCTAGGGTGTTACAGGTGGGGTCGCCGGTGTTGGGGGCTGGGTTGGGGCTAGCCATTAGCAGGGGGGGGAGGACGTGGCTAGGGAAATAGGTTGGGCACCGGCTATTGGTAGGGGAGGAGGGCTAGCAATGGTGGGGAAAAGGAGGTTTTTTTTAATTATCAGAATTTTATAAGATAAACATCAATAATTTTTTCTAAAATCAAAATATTTTAAAATTAAAAGTTAAAAAAATAACCAATGAAGACATGACACGTGGATTGCTTCAGGAGAAAAATTACAAACTTAGGTTTGTTTTGGGCAAATTTGAAGGTTGGTGCATTTTGGGAGAACGAAGCAAAGGTAAGATTATCCTTGTTAAATTTTCCAAAAAAAAAAAACTTTTCCTTTTTTTATTTGTAAAAATTTGACTTTTACACTATTCACATACTCTACTTTGGCTAATATTGATGATTTATACCTAGGATAAAAAAAAAAATTAATCATGTAAATCCTTGTTAGAATTTTTTTATTTTTATTTTTTTTTTGAGGGAAAGATTTAAGGGTGTGTTATATTCACCTGATTTTTACTTATCTGAGCTTATCTTAAGTTATCTGAACTTATTATCCCTTATTAGAACTTATTTTATTTATAAATTAAAGTTAGGTAGCCCTGATTAACCCTTATCACAACTTATCTGAACTTATTTTTCATGAACTTATTAACCCTGAAATAAGTGAAAATAAGATGAACTGAACAGGGCCTAATTTATACTTATAATATTTACTTGTTGATAATTACAAATATAATGAGAAGTGTTACAAATAAAAAAAACAGAAAAAATATATATTGATATGAATAATTTTTTAAGAGAAAAATCTGGTTAATATGGCATATTAACCAGTCTCGTTTATATGAGGGTGAATTGGTAATTTCTACCTTTTTAGTAAGGGCAAAATTGTAAACATGTGAGAGGACCGTTAACTTCCAAAATGCCGGCGTTTAAATAGGGGTTGTAATAGTACAATGATAGTGTGTTCTTCATCGTCCTTCGTCGTCCAGTTTCAATGGAATTTGAAGCTCACAAACATGTTCAGTGGAGGAGGAAGACAAATCCTACCATTTGGGGTTAACCATACCCTTTCTTTCTCCATATATGTTAGGGTTTTTCGCTTAATACGGCGGCGAAGGCGCCGAAACGGTGAACGATGACGAAAAAGATGGTGGGTGTGAGTAGAACAGGACGAAGAAGATGGTGGGGTGCGAGCGGAAGAAGATGGTGTTTCTACAACGAGGTTCAATTGAGTTTGTGAATACGGAATAACAGGCAGATCAAAAAATTAAAAAGAATCGTAACTTTTGTTGATAACGTGAAGTTATCTGCCAACTCAACAGCAAAACAAATTAGCAATAAAATAATAGCAGCAACCTCTCAAAATTGCAATATTGCCACTATATTAACATATTTCGCTAATATGCAATATTAACTGGGCATTGATCATTTTTTAATTATAAAAAGAGAGTCAAGTTAATTTTACTTTTAAAAAAAAATTTACTTTCAAGATATATGTGTAATTTATAGTTTACAACTGCATTGTTTAAATGAACCGCTGATATTAATTGAAGTATTTTACAAAGTATTACTTTACTCAATTTTTTGCTACCCTTGTGTGCAATTATTTCCAATGTGTATCAGTGTATGTATGGCCATATCTTTTCTTTAAGGTGGCCTTGTGAGTTGTGACGATCCATTTCATAGTTGTTGTTAATGGTGAGCAATCAAGATCTAGCACCAAGAAGACTGTAGAGAAGCTCAAGAGTTTTGATTAGTATGTTATAACGAGTTTGTACAATTGTGTTAATAGCTTACTTAATTTATTAAGATGTATTAGTTGAGACTTTGCAACATAAGTAATTGATATGTTGTTAAGTGAAGCGGTGATACTTCTAATTTAGGTTTCCTTTACATATTTTTGGAAATTTTGGCAGAAAAAAAAACCTTTTAAAAGCACCATTTTGCGAAAAAAAAAACCACCATGTTCATTTTATTTTGCAAGAGAGTAAACCTATTTCTTTAATTATAATTTAATTAAATTAATTAGACTCTGATTTTCTCCCATTTCTTCTAAACCTCTAATCCACCCAATTACTTAATAATTAGATTTAATTTATACATAAATTTAAAAAAAAAAAAAAAAAAAAAAAAAAAAAAAAAAAAAAACACCACCCCAACTACCAACCAACCACCCTTTCCCCTTCTCCCTCCCTTTCCTCCTCACCCATCGGACCCGCCCGGCGATCTACTTCCACCGCCGATGGACCGGACAACCACCACCTCCCTTCGAATTTTTAGATCTTATTTACTCAAACATGCTCAAATCAAGTCCAAATTATTGCAATTTGCTTCCAAATCATCCTAGAATCACATATATATACATAATCAAAGCCAAAACAAGCATCAATTGCAATCAAGATGTATAAAATTAAAAAAAAATCAAGGAGGTGGTTGATGGGCGGTGATTAGGGGGAAAGGGAGGGTCGTCTGTTTGGGGGATCCGAAAAGCGGGTCCGGTGGGAGAGGGGGTTGATTCCATGGGAAGAGGAAGGGAAGGGGAGGGGGTAGGGTGGTGGTTTTATATATATATATATATATATATATATATATATATATATATATATATATATATATATATATATATATATATATATATATATATCATATGTGTGTGTGTATGTATTAATTAAAACTAATTATTTAGTAATTTGGTGGGTTATAGGTTAATTGGAAAAAAATAGAGGGTATTTAAGGAAATAGGTTTCCACTCAACAAAAATAATAAATGTAGTGATTTTTTTAACTAAAAAGTTTTTTTTTTTTTTTTTTTTTTTTTTTTTGCGAAATTGTGCTTGTAAATATATTTTTTTTTTTACAAATTTTCTTTTATTTTTAATTAATTATTAGATAGAAAGTAGGGATATCCGGATGTTACAATGACCAACAAAAAAGGATTGGATGAAAGTAATATATAAAAGCGTAACAAACAAGTTATATGAACTGAACTGAACTGATTGAAGTTGAACTGAACTAAACTGATTGAAGCTAAGCTGAAATGAACTGAACTGAGCTAAAATGAATATTTCATGAGAGAGGGAAATTAGGAGCTAAACTAAACTGATTGGAGCTAAACTGAACTAAACTAAACTAAACTAAACTGAACTGATTGGAGCTGAACTGAAGTGAATTAAAATTAAGCTGAAGTGAACATGCCCTTAGTTAATGTCTTCAATTTGTTAAGGAGAACTCACTTGCAATTTACGACTAATCATCTCATATTGAAAAAAGATGATGAAAGATGAGTTAATGACTAACATATAAAATTCAATACTCCATCTATTAGTATCTATACTTTATTTATTAATAAGAATTCCTAAAATAGAATATGTGTCACGTGGCATTATTCACATGTATTAGAAGTATGTCACATCACTTTTCTCATGTATTGTATGTCATATCATTCATTATACTATAAATATGTTTTCACGGCAATAGAAATGTTTATCAGAAGATTTGAACACAAGATATAAGAAATGAATAAATGTTCTTACCATCTTTACTATCTTTTAATTATGTTTCATGTCCAATTATAATGTACTAAATACTTTGTATAAAACATCAATTTGAGAGCACAAATTTAGTTTTATAGTTATTATTATTTCTAATTACTACCTCCGTTATAGGTTATGTGCAATGATTTGACATAAAGCAGAGAGGGAAAATGTCTAATCGTTGCACATATTCTGTAACGAAGGTAGTATATAGTTTATATTTTATAGTTTAGAATTTACTTATTGATATCCAAGACAAAACTCGATACATCGCCCATATCACACACTAGTTTAATTTGTTTTTAAATCGAATCATGTATTGTTAAGTGATCATATTCTCTCACAAAACGAGCTTGTCTAGCCCAATGAAAGAGAAAATGAAATATACTTTAGTTGGCTAGAGAATATAAACAAAAAAGTAAGGCCCAACTACAACAAAAGAGAAGAGATATGAAAGAACCAAGGAGATGATGGTCCTAAAGTCTAAAATTTGGCATCATATCCTGGTTACTCAAACATAAATACTTCTATTTGACTTAACATAATAAGAAACTTTCGTTCAAAAAATAATAATAATAAAAATAAAATAAATAATAAATAATAAATAAAACACCTAATAAGAAACCATGTCCTTTCTTTGCAATTTAACTATTATAATTTATTAGGTGAAATCATAAGGTTGAAAGTATTCATACTCCATATTAGTTAAGCTTCATTTAGTAAGAATGTGGTGGCGATTAGATGGCTCGTCCAATACTACACATACTACTATGGATGAGTATGACCACCTTTAATTTATTTGTGAAAGCAAGGGGAACAATACCCAAAGTGCATTGGATGGGTTGAGATTAACTTGAGAAAATTATAAACCAAACGCGCATACCATGTGCCTTGGTCACTTAGCCTAGTTGAAAGGGCTAACCTCAAATAAAACTTGAGATGTCTTTTCTCCATCTCTTTTCACTATTCTTAATTTTGTTTTGCAATATGGTAAGAAGAGTGTAAAATATATCAATATATAGTAAATTAATATAGTGAAGCGTTAAATTATATATTCAAAAGTTTATCAAGTGAGATTTTAAATCAAATCGCGACACAAGGAACTTAATTAGTGAAAGTGTGAAAATTTTGTTATGAAATATATTAAAATATCATCCATTAATAATGTGTTTTATAATCATGAACGTACAATCGTAGCAAAGGTAACAACCATACTTCATCTTGATCAACATTCAACAACCAAATCATACAATATTGAAACCTTATGCTGTTATGCATGATATGTGATAATGTGAAGAGTAATTTTTTAACTTTTTTGGCATTCCCAAAAAAAAAAAAAAAAAAAAAAAAAGGAAAGAAAGAAACATTTTTTTTTGGGTGAATGGAGAATGGGATTGTTTAAGGAAAGCTACCATAAGAAAGTAAAAGCTCTGAAAGCAAATTATGGGTAGTTCCTCTCTTGGTTAATATATACACAAAAGCCTTTGTTTTCCCCTCGAAAGATCGAAAATAAAAGAAATACAAGCTCACTCGGTAGCTAGTAGTGTTGTTGCATATCCCAAAGATGAGCTAGCTAGGAGTATTGATTGCTAGAATTGGAAGACGTTGGGCCATCGGATTGCTTTGTGTTAAGGAAACGACCACCACTGCCTCTTTGTCTTCTCAACGCGTGTAGATGCCGCGATTCATGAAGATATGGCTGCATATTCACATTTTCCCTGGCCTTATTATTATGCTTGGACATGCTCAGATGATGGATATCATGTATCATTGCTTTAAGCAATGATAACCTCTTATTTGGTTAACTAAACTAGACCCTCTTTTATAACACTTCCAAGTTTATATATGTAGAGGACTAAAACAATGTATGTATATCATTTTCCTCATGAAAAGGGTCTCCTAATATATCTAGAACAAATACGTAATTAGATATTTATGGTCGTACTCTTTTTAAACTTTTACAAGGCAGAATCACTAGAATGGAGATTTTTTTTTTTAAAAAAAAAAAAAGAAAGAAAAAAAAAAACAAACAAATTATGTATGCATGCTATCCTCAATTTGAATGATTGTTCCTACATAAAATATTGCCTATATTACCAATTGATCAAAATAATGTCTGAATGAAATCTTATGTAATGTTCTTCAACCCATCCATAACCTAATATTACTATATACTTGTATAGATTATAAATGTGAAAAAGAGTAGTCAGGTGATGATTTATGATTGGATTTCTATACTACTCGATTAATGTTCTTGATAATAAGGATAGATGTTAGTGTATCCTTAATTTAAATTTTTTTTTTTAAGTGTTAGAGGTTAAAAACAACATGACAATGCAACTTATTCATTATCGAAGAAGTATATACAAAAGTCCTTGTGTTTTAATCTTTAGATTTTCAATATTTCATGTGAAATTTAGTAGATGTCATTGAATCTAATCTTTGATTAAAAATAAACTGAGTACAAAAAAGGATGGGCGAAAGGGTTACCTTCCTGGTTTTAACAGCCCTATTTTCCAGCTCGGCTTTAGCTCTGGATTGCCTTCGCCTCATAATGCCATGGTATTGCTTTGCATTTACATAAATGGGCTCATAATTTGCTGCTTCCCCGGGAAGAGGTACTCCGTTGGAATGAATTCCCTCATAGTAACCCTGCATTGTGATCATGATTATTGCTCAGTAATGCTAATTATCGCTAATTAATTTATAATACTAAACTCAACTTCTATGTTGATTTCTCTAATACATTAAGATCTTGATAATGCTCCGATGAAGGGTAATGTATGGACTCAATTTCTTTCCAATTCCCATTTGAAACAAAATCTTCAAGGAAAAATTGTTGAACATGAAATGGATGAATTGCCTAAGAAGAAAGAATGTAATTTGGACTACTTACAAACCTAAACGAGTGTTCATTCACCATAATTAATTGACAATGAGGTAGAGTATGCGACTCCTCAAGCTTATAAGATGTGTTATGTCTCTTCTTGTACTTATAGCCTTATAGGACAGTTCACATGTTTATAATATGATGGTTCAACAATGTTTCCTACACATTGTTAATACTCTTAATAATATTGTAGAGCAAAACAAAATAGCTATCAATCAATGACAAACGTAATGCTAAATCCCTAACTAGAAGTTTGATTAAAGTCCTAGTTTTTAGAAAAGATCCATAAAATGCTCTGATACCAAGCTAAATTTTACAAAAAAAAACTCAAATGAGATTTGAGATACTCTTGAGGAGGAGTCTGGATCACAAAACCAATTGAATGAACAATGCACTATCACAAAACCAATTCAAAGAATGATGTACTACTACTATATATCACAAAACCAAATGATCACTTATATATAAGAGATATATAGAATGATGTACTATCACTAGTTTATTAGTATATCAAGATTGTGACATGATATCTTCTAATTATCATAACTTACATGTTTACAAAATGAAGTTTCAACAAAATATATATATATATATATATATATATATATATATATATATAGTTCCAATGTTCCATCCCCTTTTTTTTCTTGTCATTACTATTCAAATACATGCTTCCATGATCCATCAACTATATTGTTTCTAATTGACTATTTTTGGTTTATTTGCTCACTTGTAACATTCTCAATGAGCAAATAAATTGATGATGTAAAGTATGTGGTTATTACCATCTATCAAACGGGTGATAACAATGTTACCAACAAGTTGAACATTTACAAGATAATTAGATGTGCATAGAGTGATAGAATGCACATACATAAAGTATCCATACTTCAAGGACTCGAGCATATGGCTTGGTGCTCCTTTTACTTTATTCTTGTCCTTAATTTTCCATCCAAGTGAAAAAAAAAGAAAAAAAAAAAAAAAAAAAAGAAAGGTTTTGGGCCTTCATATAATATATTAAAGTAAAATATAACCTTTGGTTGGGCCTCTCAAACAACAAATTATGTATGAGGTAGTTATAACTTTTGAGTTTTTTGTACAACTAGTTAGTTCTTTCACAATCAAATGTTAAAAAAAAGTTTAATTAGGATATAAAGTTAATTGTTCATCTTAGATAGTCTAACATTCTCCTCTCCATATGCTATGCATAAGAATATAGGTGGAAGTAAGTGAGTGGGTGTTGAATCGCGTCCACGTGTAGGATGAAAATTATAATAAAGTGTGTGTAAGATGGTACTATAAATATTGTACCTAACAATAAGATAATAGTGAATCATAACTATCATATTGTCTAAATTCGAATATATGAAAAATTGATTGAGGAAACTTGTGGCCTCTATTACATTGGTTTTTCGTTGTTTCTAATATGATATGGTATGTAATTAAAAAATAAAATAAAAAATAAAATAAAATAAAATAAAATAAAAGGGTAACCATTTACACCCTACATGTTTCATCCAATTATCTTTCATTAGTCAAAAAAAAAATTAATTGTAATTTGTTAGAAACAAAAAAATTTGTACACAATAAACAATTACTTACAGTATTATGTTGAGGAAGTCCTGTTTGATGAGAGATTGGCATGTTGTAATCATGTATTATTTGATGATGATCCATTGGAAAAACACCATGCTGTTCTTGCTTCTGTTGCTCACCATATTTACCTACCAATGACATAATTAATCGAGCCATTTTTGTATTATTGTGCAACTCCGTTTTTAAACTAAACTAGTGTCTTTTACACTACATATTTAAATGATTGAACTAATTAATCATAAATTATTTCTCAAATCATATTCTTAAAATTTATGCAAGCAATTTTCGACAATATACATACATAGTAGAAGAGCAATCTACCATCAAAATAAATAAATAAATAAATAAAACTAATAAAAATGAAAACGACATATTAATTAAAATGAAGGGATTTTATCAATCATTGAGATTACAATATGATTCAAATATGTATGATTGATTATGTGACACATTTTATATTTTTTTGGAGAGAAAGGATGTGACATACTGATTTGGATAAATACACTAATAACAATACACATAAAAAAAAATGATTAATTAATTAATATAAGAAAAATAACAAATATAAGCAATAAACTTACATAATCTTTGAATAATATACCTAAGGGCGACATGAGAAATTGTTGTTCTTCTTTGAGGTTGTTGTTGGAATCTTCAAGATAATTATATTGATGATGATTTGAATTGCATTCTATTGAAAGATCAGAGGATGATGAAGGATCTTGCCAGAAATTATCTGATGACCAACAAATCACTTGAGGATGATGAGATTTGGTTGATGATTTGTTGCCAAAGTATTGTTGTTGAGACTTTTGATTCATTTCTTGCTAGTTCTAGTTGAGAAATAAAGTACCTGAAAATACAATAATATATGGTAAAACTACTAATTAGCTTGTTTGGCCTAGCTCGTAATGAAACTAATTAATTTCGGTTCAATAATAATAATGATAAATCATGTTGCTTGTATAGTAATTAAAGGTAACCAGAAACAAAAATATAATCAGTATGAAGAGTAAGAATCATATAGAAATTAAGACGAGTGGGGTAATAGCTATAACAAACTTTTGGTGTATCAACACCATTTGGAGTCCGAAGTAAAAAAAAAATATATATACTTATAAGTAGTAAATCTTGTAAAGTGGAAAGATAAAATGAACCAAAGGGCGAAGTAATGTAAAGAGATATACATCAAATTATGTAAAAGTAATGATCGAGATTAAAGTTCTCTATTGTGAATAAGAATTATATTAGTTTTAATCGATATTTACTACTCCGCATCCTATATGGATGGAAGCCATTCTTCCTATTAGTACAAATAATAAAAAAAAATAATAATAATAAAAAAAAATAATAATAATAAAAAAAAAAAAAAAAAAAAAAAAAAAAAAAAAAGACAAATAAGATGTACTATTGGGTAAAATCTAGACCCAAAAAATGGATACATAAAAGAAAATGAAAATCAAATCTTATGCTTCAAAAATAAATTAAATTCATGTAGCATGAAAATATATTAAGATGCTTAAGAGAGTAAGTAGAAAACCTACTATAAGCGGCGGCTTAAGAAGAACGATGAAACCTTAATATTGTGTGTAGATGTTCCAAAGACCAAAGGCAACAACGTTGAAACCTTTACCTTAATTTAGGGAATAAACTTGATTTATTTTCACTATTTAAAACCTTTTGTTTTATATATTATTATTATTTATTGTATTTTGGGGGTGTTTAATTTCTAATTTAAGGTGGGGTGGGTTTAGTAAAGTATGGTCCCGGCTGTTTTGGGTATGGTATTGTGGCTAGGGTGAGGAAATGACGTTCATCTTACGTTGGAGGAGTGAGACAATAATTAGTTCAATGTGTGGACTACAAATTATTTTAGGTTGCTTTTGTTTGTTGTATTAGATGCTAACAAAACCTATTAATTAAAATTTTTGATAATTTATTTTCTATTTTGCTGTAACATTTTTATGGCATAATATTTCAAAAGAAAAAAGCAAGGTATGCATATATGTGGATTGTATTGTAAGACTCCGTACATTCACCTTATTTTTGTTGAACTTAAATTTTTATTACCGAATTCTTTTTTTTTTTTTGGCTAAACTAAAGTATTTTTATTGAATTGAAATTAATTTTACTGAGCTGAAATTATTTTTGTTGAAATGAAATTATTTTTACATAATTTCTATTATATTTCTTTATTTAAAGTTACTGTTTTTTACTGAACTTAAATTAATTTTACTGGGCTGAACTTATTTTTACTGAACAGAACTTATTTTTACTGAATTGAAATTATTTTACTAAACATATTTTTTAAAGGTGAAGTGAATAAGGCCTAAGTGAAAATCACATGAATTACGACAAGTAAAAATTGGTCCCCCATTGAAAAATTAGGGTATGTCTGGTAATTGAATAGAAAAGACCATACTCCCTTTGTTTCTAAACATTTGTCCTATTTTGACTGACACAATCATCAATGTAAAACTTTGACCAATATAATAACTAAATAGTATAGATTATTTTAAAATTTTGATATATAGAGGATACAAAGTGAGACGATTTTTATAATTCTTATGTATAAAGCAACAATAATAATGGTATATGTATATGTAAATAGTGCAAAAGTCTAATTGAAATATTTATTTTAAGTACTTAACAACCAAATTAAATGGTATGGTGCTATAAAAAATGAAAGATTTGAAGGAAATACATTATTAATCTTTTAATACATACAATATATTTAAACTAAAAGAAAAGCAGCCCGTTTTCTATGTGGTTGACAACCGTCACAACCACACCGTGTGGCCGACTGACGCACACCAAAACACTAAACGGGTAACCTCTGACCGATTGAGTAACCTCTAATTAACAGATTAACCTGTGTTATCACGGTGTGACCAACTACATATGAAATTTTGTAAAAGAAAAGTTGATTTTATAATTGTAGTTGTATTTAGTTTTAACCAAGCTTGCTTGATGGAACTCACCTTATGATTTTGAAGTCACAAGTTTGAGCCTCCAGCAACGAGATGCTAATTCAGTAGGGTACTTTATTTTATCTAAAAAAATACTCTGTATATTTATCTGTCGTACAAATAGTACTAAGTTTATTATAATTAATATTTTAGACCTACTGTGTTATTTGTTTGAGGTAACAACTTATTAGATTAAACATAATTATGGTACGGTGTTTCTTTTTTGGATCGTTATATGTGATTAATTGAAGGCCGAACCACCGAAAGAAATGTCCGTACATAGTCTTTATACGCTCGAGTTTTCTTCACTGTTATTGTGTTTTAGTTGTGTCACGTGTCACACATTATTACATCAAATTAAACTTCATTAGTCATTAGTTCATTTCTAATCCCAAACGATAGTTATTAGCCACGAATTTTTTTAATTTTCATCACTGCTGTCATTTTATAAAAAGACGTCTTGGATTAATATTTATATTGATTATGGGTTGAATCATAAATAAAAAAATTTAAGAAGAATATATAAACTTTGTTTTTTTTAAAAAAATAAATAAATAAATTGTGTTAATACGGTGCCTAAGTTACACTTGTAGGATGCATGATTTGTGAAGATTTTTATACGAACCAGATGTACATTCAAAGTTATGTTTTCCTTTCCTAATTAATAATGATTATTAATATTAATTAAATAAGAAATAATTATTAAAGTGAATAAAAACTACCTTTGAATGCAGCATATACTACATGATCAATTGATCATCAACTCGAGTGTATATAAGAATCTCTTGATGATTTATTTTCGTTAATGTGATTTTTTGTAATTGTTTTGAAAACTCATATACTAGTAATGTGTCATAGTATAATGAGTTGGTAACAATCACTCTTAGGTTTAATTGTTCCAATGCTGAAGTCTGTTCTTTGATTAATTGATCAAATTACTACAGCATTTTTAAACCGTCAATGAATGAAAAATACAACAAGCCCTTGAGTTTAAGGCCTCGTTAGTGCACGGGTCATTTATGATTACCAATGCAACAAGGAAAAATTCAAAGACAAATTAATTGATCATTAAACAGAAATACAACACAAGCAAGTAGGAGAATTTAAAGTAGAGATAAAGATGATTACAAATAAATTAAATCCAAGGAGGAAGAGTTACCTCCATGATTAATCACAATCAAAGACTTGCTACTTGCTCTAAGAGTCCACAACATTCTATTTCTATCACACACTTTGCTAGTTTTGCTACACTAATCTAGGCTACTAAGCTTAGAAGGTTGAGGAACTAAGAAACTAAGAAAGTTTTGATTATATGATTGATTGTCCTTCATAAGTTTTAAGAAACATAAACTGCAATTTGATCAGATCGATCATATGATGATTGATTGTACTGTCCTTCTTCTTGTTTACTCCGTATTTAAAACTCTCTAATTATAACTATACATCGAGTCATAATTTTCTCTCAATCTTTAAGTAGTAGTTCCTATTCTTATTCGGGTTTTATATCTCCTTCTTTTGTGTAGGTTATATGGCTTAATATTATATTCAAAGGCTCTAAGCTGAGCTACATATGAATTGGGCTCGTACCCTTAAAGTCAATGAATTTAATACGTCTTACATATTCTAAGAAATAATTTAAACTCTTAGTACAAACATATGCTTTATTTAATTGCTTCATATTTAGTAAACAACTTTTATATGTTTAGTATTGGAGTTAGGTTTGAAGTACCGTTTATTATTGGTGAACAAAATACAACCTATCAAAAACATTCATGGAATTGAACTATAGGTGTCTTTTTTATCTCGAACTTAATTAATACGGAATATTTCATAAATGTAGTAATATCTACTACCAACTCCAATAGTAAATTGCAAACATAAGAGTTTTAATTCTGAAAATTAGAGACGATAATTCAACAATTTGGCCGACTAATTTTGTTCGGTCAACCAAAATAAGATCGAGCTCCATGGTACAATAGATGAGCCATTATGAAAATATATTTTTGATTGGTCTAATTAAATGTACACTCATGAGTATGTCCAAGTGTCAAAGTTATTCATCTAAAATGGACGAAAAATGAAATTATATTAAAAATCTTGGTTATTTTAGTATAATTTTAAAAATTGTGTCATTTAATTTATGACAAAGAGTACATAGAAACATAATCACATAGCTTTCCATCAAGACAATTATTCTAAATAATGTATGTTATTCAACTTATTTTGTAAAAATCAATGAATCCAATATAGAACTACAACAAGTTCAAATAAATAAAACAAGTTATCATTTTATATAAGTTTAGATAGGTCAATTTTTAACACAATAGAGTATTTTTAATTTCAATTCATCAAAAATTAGAAGTCCAAGTGTTTGATCGATATTACTTTTCATTGTGTATGGTATATGATTCAAATAATGGACTTTCCTCGTTCTTTTCTTGAGCCAATTATTCTCTTAGCACGACGGTGTAGTTGTAATAGATAATGGAGATATACTATCACGACTATCTATATCAGGGGCCATGTTATGAGCACTTTTAAAAACATTTGAGTATCTGTTAAAGTTTATGCGGTAGCTGAGGAGGAGAATGAGTAAAAAGAAATTAAAAGCCTACCAAATAAAGTAGAGCCGGTATTAGAGATAAGTATACATCGATGTTAATTTGAGGTACATATTAATCTACAATAATAATAAATTATGCTCAAGTTTTGGTCAAATTGAGCTCAAGTAACTAACAACCACCCAAGGATTGGAGGTTAGGGTTATTATCAACCCTAATGGCACTTTAGGGCAACCTCAAAAAATGTAACTAGAATAAATTAAATAGAAAATCAGCAAACAAACTAGCAACGTGTCCATGCAAAAATTAAAATTTTAAATTAAAAATGAAAAAAAATAAAACCTTCCATTGAGAGGCCCCCACGTGTAAGTCTCATGATGTGGCTGTTAATGGCAATGTCGTTGCAAAATTAGATCAACCAATAAAGAAGAATACACGTGTCCAAAAGTTCTGGAAAATTGGCGATACTTTAAAAAGTGACAAATAAAATGAACCCCTAGAATTAACACACGTAGTTGTCGCACTTATGCTAATTTAGGGAACAGTAAGAAAAAGTGTACAAAAATAAAATAAAAAAAGGGACACCTCATACTAACTTACAAAAGGGCTTTGGGAGATGGGGCACTTTGGTTTAATGATATCAATGAATCACCCACCCTTTCACATTCTTTTGCTTTTCTTATCCGAAAATGATGCTTCTATATTTAGACTTCATAATTCATTCTTTTCGGTTTGTCATTATAATGTTCAACAATATATATTTGGATCAATTGGATGTACTTTGAGCTTCATAAATAGAAATACATATTAATCATATATATATATGTTGAGTATTTTTACTTCAGATGATCGATTCAACCACTTTAAAGAAAGAATTTGAGTTGAATGAGATTTGAACTTATAGTCTAATATCACGTTGGCTCTTAAGATTATGCCAAAAAATCAAGTCAATCAAATCTTTATTTGACGGAAATAAAGCCCTAGATCCTTAGTATATATATGGTACATTATATATGTGTGTGTGTGAACTCGATATGTCTTAAATTATTTCATTCACTTCAAATTTAAGCAATAGAGTATTGTTTAAGGAACACATTAAAATGAGGCAATCAATTTAAACAACAAAATTATGAAGGAAAAAAAGGATGAATTATTAATTTATATGAAGATCTAAGTAGTTTTTAACATTTTCCTTTTAGGCCCTATTGACTCACCTTACTTTTTACAGAATTGAAATTATCTTTGTTGAACTGATATTATTTTTAGTTTTTTACTGAATTGAAATTATATTTTTTTTGAGGTGAAGTGAACAAGGCAGTACTACCATTTCTATTAATTACAACACTTCTTTATATAGTAAATGCCCATTATTGTTTATTAATTTTCTCTTCTACTAACTCAACTATCACTATTATTATGTCTCCCTACCACTCACAATTATATATACCCTACAGGCCAACTCTACTTTTAATTATATCATATAACCCTCACTCTATTTTATTATTATTATTTTTTTTTTGGCGTAATATAACCCTCATTTTGTTT